TGACTGACGCCCCGAGAAGCCATAGGGAAACCCCATGGCTTTCCATTCCTCTCTCTGAAATCAATAAAAAAAATATTTTATAAAATGTATACATTTTGGGGGGATACGCTATATACGTGCGTGTGAGTATATTTATATATGTGTATATATCATACGTGTGTGTATAGCTATGTATGTGTGTGAATATATATTTAGGTAGATGGTATCGTATGTATACGTATGTACATGCATGTAACATGTGTGTGTGTGTTTCCGGGAAGGGAGATAGCTCTACAGCAGAAATTTGAATTATGGTTTAAGACCGTTCCTAACCCTGGTAGGTGTTCACCTAACAATACAAGGTCGCTCAAGGGGAGAGGCCGCACCGTGTATTTGAGATCAGCAAGAGCAGCGACTCGGAGAGCTTGGGTTCAGGCTGGAGCCCAAACGGCGTCCGGATGACGGGACAGAGGCGACCGGTGTTTGTGAGGAAGGGACGGGCCACAGTGACACCCACAGCGGGAGGGCCTGGCTGTGGGTGCAGGTAACAGGACGTCATGGTGCTGATTCTAAACGTGTTTAATCTTCAGTCCTGTCCCCCCCCATCCGGTAGTCGTCACACCTGCTTCCCCATCATCTTAGCAGACAGCTCTTTTAGATACAATGTTGCTTTAGGCCCCGTGCAAAAGTTACTTTGTCTCGTCAGTGGTCTTAGCAGACAGCTCTTTTGGATACAATGTTGCTTTAGGCCCCATGCAAAGGTTACTTTGTCTCAGTGGTCATCACACCTGCTTTCCCGTCATCTTTGCAGACAGCTCTTGGGGGCACGAGGTGGCTTTCGGCNGATGCAAAGGTTACTTTGTCTCAGTGGTCATCACACCTGCCTTCCCGTCATCTTTGCAGACAGCTCTTGGGGGCACGAGGTGGCTTTCGGCCCATGCAAAGGTGATTTTATTTTAAACACCTTGCTGACTGGTCACAAGATAACCTGCGTCTGCATTTACATTCATTTAAATAATTTTAAACATCTCGCTGATGAAAGTAGCCGGCCCCACAGGCAAATTCTGGCTTGAAATCTCCTGTCAGCAAAGTGTTTCACGTCCAAACTTGGAGGCCTCAGACGTGCCAGCCAGTTCCTCAGGGATGGCAGCTCCGGCTCCATTCACGTTATTTTGACAACGGGCTCAGTCAAGGGCAAATTTTATTTTTAGCTGTGCTCTCTTGGACCCAGCCCTCAACCTCCTGACTCAGACAGGTTGGCAGTGAGGGCTGAAGCCTGTGCTTTAAAAACTTCCGCACGTGATCCTGACCTAGGGCCAGGCTGCAGAGACGCGGATTCTGAGTTGTGTACAATCCAGGGTACAGATCCAATTTTTTTTTTTTAATGATTTTAATGATTTTTTTGTATTGATTTCAGAGAGAGGAAGGGAGAGAGAGAGAAACATCAATGATGACAGAGTCGTTGATCGGCTGCCTCCTGCACGCCCCCACTAGCGATCGAGCCCCCGAAACCCAGGCAAGTGCCCTGACTGGGAATCGAACCCTGACCTGCTGGTTCATAGGTCGACGCTCAACCCCTGAGACACACCGACCGGGCCAGATCCAATTTTTTAAAAAGTTAACAGGATACACCTCTGTGAAGTTTGCACGTGGTTCCTCGCAAACCTAGGAGGCTTGTGGTCTCCCCAGTTTCCCCACATAGGCAGAGACAGGACTGGGACGCCAGCTGGTGCAAATTCGCGTTTCTGACCTGCCAGCATTCAGTGACCTGTTCTCTTGGTGGAATGAACCAGGATCCCCGATTCGTTCACCTAGTGGGAAATTTTAGGACATTTTGCTTTGAAGTTGCCATTGACAGGGTTTTAAGCCCCTTTTCTTTGCTCTTAAGATTTATAGAATGCAATAGGAGTCAAAGAAGGGCCATATAGCTATTTATTTTTTATTTATCTTTATTATTGAAAAAGTATTACAGATGTTTCTGCTTTTTCCCCCATTGCCTTCCCACCCAGTTCCCAACGCATCCCAGGCCTTCCCCACACTATTGTCTGTGTCCGTGGGTCATGCATATTTGCATATAAATTCTTTGGTTCATCTCTCCCCACCCGCCTTCCCTCTGAGATCCCTCCATCTGCTCTATGCTTCTGTGTCTCTGGATTTATTTTGTTCGTCTGTTTATTTTGTTCATTGGATTCCACATATGAGTGAGGTCAGGGGATACTTGTCTTTCTCTGCCTGGCTTATTTCACTCAGCATAAGACTCTCCAGGTCCCTCCCTGTTGTCCCAAAGGGTAACATATGCTACTTTTTCACAGCTGCATAGTATTCCACGGTGTAGATGTACCACAGCTTTTTTTTATCCACTCAACACAGCATATCGAGGAGTGGAGATCCTCGTTTCTCCTCAATTGATCCCCTCCACCCCACAACCATGTTCCCGCCCCCCACCAGGTTTTCCACATACTATTGTCTGTAATTTATTTATTTTTTAGAGAGAAAGGGGAAGAGAGAGAGAGAGAGAGAGATCAATTTGCTGCTCTGCTTATTGATGCATCATCGGTTAATTCTTGTATGTGCCCTGACCAAGGATCAAAGCCGAGACCTTGGGATATCAGGATGATGCTCTAACCACTGACTCACCTGGCCAGGGCTGACAGGGTAACATATGCTGCTTTTTCACAGCTGCGTAGTATTCCATGGTGTAGATGTACCACAGCTTTTTTTTATCCACTCAACACAGCATATCGAGGAGTGGAGATCTGACGTGAGAACAGCCTCGAAACTGGGACACTGGGGACAGGGGCCCGGTGGTCACCCTGACACCCAGCCTATCTCCTGACGCCTCCAAGTGCTGAAATACAACAGCTGATTCCCCGCCTCACATCTGCTCTCGGGGTCATGCTTCGGGAAGGAGAATTGTATCCTTTCATGAGAAACATTGTAGCACAGTGTGTAAGATCATGGCTCTCAGAGGCATTGGGCTCCCGTTTCTAGCTTTGCTACTTTCCAGCTGGGTTTGAACCTGTTAATTGACATAAGCTCAGGGAGCCCAGGTTTCCTCAACTATAATGATATGCGTGGGAGGGAAGGGGGTGCGTGTGTTAAAAATATCTTCCTCAGAGTGATTGGATTAGCTAAAACAATGTTGCTTTTTAAATTTTCTTAGCCTTTATTTAAAAAAGAAAAAAATGTATCTTTATTGTTGAAAGTATTACAGATGTCCACGTTTCTCCTCAATTGATCCCCTCCACCCCACAGCCGCATTCCTGCCCCCCAGGTTTTCCCCATACTATTGTCTGTAATTTATTTATTTTTTAGAGAGAAAGAAAAGGGAGAGAGAGAGAGATCAATTTGCTGCTCTGCTTATTGATGCATCATCGGTTAATTCTTGTATGTGCCCTGACCAGGGATCAAAGCCGAGACCTTGGGGTATCGGGACGATGCTCTAACCACTGACTCACCCGGCCAGGGCTGACAGGGTGTTTGTAAACCTAGAGCAAGGTGCCTGGGAAATGGTTAATAACCTGCTAACGCAGAGGCATGGCGCAACAACCCCGCCCAGATCTGGAAACCATAGAGATTAAAATAATAATAAAATAAAATAAAATAAAATAATAAAATAAAATAAAATAAAATAAAATAAAATAAAATAAAATAAAATAAAATAAAATAAAATAAAAATAAAAAGGGTTCGCAAAGCCCGTCGTCAGCAGATAAGAGCTGGATCAATCTGCAGAAGACGTTGAGACGTGTTTCAAAACATGAGATAAGAGTTGACTTTAAAGAGAGCTTTTATAGATAAAAAAAAAAAATGATGATGCTAATAGGGCTCCATATAGAAGGCGTTTTCTCATGGAAACCCGCCATGCGTTTTGCCCCAACAGACACATTTGGTTTTTGCTCTTTTAATAACATCCGAGTTAAGGTGACTCCCTTAGGAACACGGATTTCAAGGTTGTCTTTTTGCTCATGACCCTTAGGAAACATTTCTTAAATTGATTATTATTATTATTATTATTATTATTATTATTATTATGCAGAACTTTTTTTGTAAATATATCTTTATTGATTTCAGAGAGAGGAAAGGAAATTTAGGAACATCTATGATGAGAGAGAGAGTCAAGCGGGTGCAGGAGGCCACCAACCCATGTGTCTCTCTCACATTGATATTTCCCTCTCTCTCCCCACTTCCAGTCTCTCCGAAAAGCAATGGGAAAAAAACTCCCCCCAAAAATGTACATGGAGCCTTGATGCAAACCGGGTCCGGGGATCCCGCCTGCAACCCAGGTACCCATCTCTGACCGGGAATCGAACCCACAACCCTTCAGCGTGCGGGCCGGTGCCCTAAGCACTGAGCCACACACCGGCCAGGGCAGGTTAAACATTATTTAGATGTTTGTTCGACTTGTAGACACGTGAGGAAAAGGTCCTATTTGCAAAGGCCTTAGAAAAGCATCGTTTTTACCTCCGACGCCTGACTCCCATGTTCTGCGGCCACATGGAAAAAAAAAAAGTTTAAAATGTTCCTTCGTGGATAAAAAAGAAGAAATTTGGCACTCAGCCCCCAAATAAGTTTATATATATATATGGCGTTAGGTAGCTAAGCATTATTGGTACGTAGTAGTCACACCTATTTTGTGTCCTTTTCTTTCATATTTTTGAGGCTGATGTCAGAAGGGCGGAGGCAAAAAATAATAATCATAAAAACGACAAAATTGTCAGGGTAACTGTTTTGCGGGATTGGAGGGAAGCCAGGGATAGCTTTTTTTTTTTTTTTTTTTTTTTGCTTTTTTTTTATTTGACCACAGGCCAGCCTTTCAGGGAATAAAGGAGCTACTGTCTCGGACGGAGCAAGCTGCTGGTGTCCTTCTGGGAGGGACACAACCCGGGAATTAAAACAGACCTCCGGATGTCTGGGGGCCCGTTCTCTGCGCGTTGTCTGAGCAACCTAATGTGAGCGCCTCTGGAATTCGTGTTTTATTTGGAGAGTAAACCGGCTACCCTTGCACATGCGTGCACGGGCCTGAGAGGTGGGGATTGTGAGCCAGCAAGAGCCTGCGGCGCCCTGTGCAGGAGGAGATCTTTCCCTGCACAACCAGCCAGCCACGCACACCGATCTCCAGCTGCAGCGCACGTGTTCAGGTAACTTGCATTTCTCCCTCGGCCACCAAGATGCTTTTATACAGCTGTCCCCCCTTCCTGGGGGAGACTCTGGACAGCTGTTTCAAACAGCACCCCATTGCTTGGTACAATGCATCCCCTGGCAAAGATTTAGAAGAAACTCCGGCGTGGTGCAATCTCCAAGCAACTAGAAAATGAAAATAAAATAAAAAAATAAAATAAAATAAAATAAAAAATAAAATAATATAAAATTAAATAAAATTAAATAAAATTAAATAAAATTAAATTAAAAAATAAAAAATGTGTGGAGGGAGAGGGGGAAGGGACTAGGTTTTTAGACATTTTACAGCATGGAGACTGGATTTTAAAGACAGGCTGGGGATGAAATACCAAGCTGGGGACAGGGCCAAGCGTCGTGGTGACGCCTAACGGTCCCTTCTCTACAGGAACAGAACCCCAGGCAAAATTATGGGTTCGACTGTCCTGAAGAAACCCTTTCCTTCTCTTGTTCGCATTTTCTTTTCTTAAACTGGGATGGGATGGAGAGATATCACTATGGGGAAGCTCATTGTGCTAGGACCTAGGTTTTGCAAGACGGTTGCAACAGTAACAGGAGCCAACAGCTTCTGAGGGTTGCAGAATCACTGCTAATCATTGAGTGTTAAGAACAATTAAGATGCCATCAGTCAGACACTTTGACTTTAGTAACATAGTAGCGCTGACTGTCACCTCTGTGCTGCCAGTTGCAACTGCAGACCTTCTAGTTGCAACTTTGTATCCTTAAGCACCTCCCCGTTTCCCACTGGGTGCCAGCCTTCTACTCTCTCTTTTTCTATCATTTTCTTTCATTATATTTTTTATAAATGTGTTTTTATTGATTTTTAGAGAAAGGAAGGGAGAGGGAGAGAGAGATGGAAACATCAATGTGAGAGTCATGGATCGGCTGCCTCTTGCAAGCCCCCTACTGGGGGTGGACCCTGCAACCCCGGCATGTGCCCTGACGGGGAATCGAACCATTGACCTTTCAGTGCACAGGGCCAGGGCTCTTTTGTGAGTTTTTTTTTTTTTTGGTTTTTTAATACATCTTTATTGATTTCAGAGAGAGGAAAGGAGAGGGAGAGAGAGAGAGAGAAACATCAATGATGAGAGAGTCATTGATCGGCTGCCTCCTGCACGCCCCCGACTGGGGATCAAGCCCTCAACCCCAGCATGTGTCCTGACAGAGAATCGAACCCCGATCACCTGGATCCCAGACTGACGCTCAACTGCTGAGCCACGCCCGGCAGGGCTCTTTTGTGAGTTTTTAGTAGCTGCTTCAAGGTTGTACGGATTATACCAGAGATAACCAAAGTTTCCCTTTCCTTCCCTCCTTCCTGTTTTGCTTATCGAACGGCTTCACGTCCTGCGGCCCTGTCTGATTCCGCATCTCTTCGCTCCTCGTAGGAGACAGGAAGCCAGAGAGGACATGTTACGCCCGGGACGTTCTAGGTAAGATGGAATTTGGCCCTGAATCTCCCATCCCTGCCTCCACGGGTCTTCATGTGGCAGAATCCACCGATGACAAAGTGGGTCTTCCTCGGTGACGGATCGATCGTGTGTCTTGGAAACCGGGCGTGAGACTCGGGGTTCATTGATGTTTTTCCATGGGGTCCCCTACCTGGGGGTAACCTGGGCAGCTTGGGGAGGAAGCCCATATCACCTGTCCCCATCCGAGCAGATGTCAAGCCCTGGTGGCTACCGTGGTGGGCAGGCTTCTGGGCCAGCAGGTATCCAGCCCCCTGGGATGCCCATGATTTTTCATCTCCCCTGGGAGGTGTCTGCTTCCCCAAGGAGCCCATCAGGTATCTTTATTTCATGACCCTGTGGGTCGGAGCACTATTTATGTGCATGCCCTGGTTGAGTCAACAAGAGCCTGGTTACCTGTCTCTTTACTCCTCGTAAGGAGGTACGAAGCCAGAGAGACTTCTTACCGACAACTTGTTTGGGTTGTTAGCTTGTTTTTTAGGGGCTGGCTGGCTGCAGCAGTCGGTGTCCTTGTTCTGAGGCCCACCAACGGTAGGGGTGTACCTGGCTCTCGACCCAACATCCTTCTGCTGATGGCGGACGACCTTGGCATTGGGGACATCGGCTGCTATGGCAACGACACAATCAGGCAAGGAAAGAACGGCCCGGGCGTGGCCCCAACGCAGAGACCACAGACAATGCATCTGGCCCTTGATACAAGCAATCCAAATGTTAGCAGAATTCTGCACAGGCCACTGAACACCCCCGATCCTGCCATCTCCCAGGCCTGCAATAACCCCGGCCCCAGCCCATCCCACACAGGAGTAATGGTTTTATTTTTAAATACCATAGCCATTAGCACAGCCCACGGAAAACGTTTGTTTTTATTTATTCAGAGTATTATAGATCCCCCTCGCCTTTGAAACCCTCTAAAGACAGTGTTTCTAGTTTTTATTTTTATTATTATTTTTTTAATATTCACCCAAGCACATTTTTTTCCATTGATTTTTAGAGAGAGTGGAAGGGAAGGAGGGGGAGAGAGAGAGAGACATGCATGTGAGAGAGACACATTGATGGGTTGCTTTCTACACGCACCCCGGCAGGGACCAGGAATCGAACCTGCAACCCAGGTACACGCCCTTGACCAGAAATCAATCCCATGACCCTTCGGTGTGCAGGCCGACAGTCTAACCACTGAGCCACACCGGGCAGGGCCTGAAGATGATGTTTTTAAAATCAGTGTTGCCTCGAAGCCCATGTGTCCCTGCTACTGCTTCGCTCTTACAATGAGCTCGTCGCCTCCATCGCGGTCTCATTGCCCTTGGAGACCACCATGAAGCTACATCGGGATCCCACCCTCCCACGCCCCCCTACAAGGCGCTAAGACCCTTCCAACCAAGACTGTGAACCCCAAGTTAGAAGGGCCCTCCCCGCTGCTGGGCTCCCCACAGCACCCGTTTCATTTGCAGAAACATAGGTCCTAAGGTCGACTCCAGTCGATGAGTTTCCTCGACGGTTCGGAAGGTCATGAACGCCCTTCGCCATCTCCTCTGGTCATTGATAGGAGGACCTTCATGGGTTCAGCAATGACCAGGAGACGTCGATGGGGAAAACGTGAGTTTCTGTTGGTGAAGGAATGAAAACCGCCCCTGTCTGTCTCTCCCCATAGGACTCCAAATATTGACCGCCTGGCAGAGGGTGGGGTCCTGCTCACCCAGCACATCGCCGCGGCCTCTCTCTGCACCCCGAGCCGAGCTGCTTTCCTGACAGGCAGATACCCTCTCCGATCAGGTTTGTCCTTCCATGAGTCCAACGGCTGGGGGTTCTCCCTTTAACTTCTCTAATTCAGGCATTCAAATAAGGATCCTGCAGTTCAGCGGCAGGGAATGGTACATGTCCCCCCATATTTTTTTTAATACTCACCCAAGGATATGTTTCTATTGATTTTTTTATATATATTTATTGATTTCCGAGAGAGGAAGGGAGAGGGAGAGAGAGAGAAACATCAGTGATAAGACAAAGTCATTGATCGGCTGTCTCCTGCACTCCCCCTACTGGGGTTCAAACCTGAAACCCAGATATGTGCCCCGATTCGGAATCGAACCCATGCCTTTTTTATTTATGGGGTGATGCTCCAACCTGCTGAGCCACCCATCCAGGGCTCATCAAATAGCCTAAGTTTAGCCCGGCCGGGCATGGCTCAGCGGTTGAGCGTCGACCTAGGATCTAGATGATCCGGGTTCGATTCCCAGTCAGGGCACATGCCCAGGTTGCGGGCTGCAGCCGATCAATGGCTCTCTCATCATTGATGTTTCTATCTGTCTGTCTCTCCCTCTCCTTTCCTCTCTCTGAAATCAATAAAGATATATTAAAAAAAAAAAAAA